GTACCAACCACCAAACACAGAAAGCTTTTAAGGACTTGAGAGCAGTACAACCTAGTAACTCAACATTTACTTTTATTTTGACGGTAATTACTAAAATTTAAATTCAAAACTGATACTGACTTTCACTATTTATTTCAATCTTTTCCATTTTTTTTTCTTGAACTCTAAATACAGACCAAATTATTCTGATTGAAGTTTGGCATCTGAACTGTAAGCATATAGTACATGAATTTTAAGGATTTTTTTTAAAAAACATAAATATTGAAGGTTGCAAAACATGTAAAAGAAATTATATAAAAATAGTTCTATTAATCATTGAGGTAGTTTGGTATATTAGTAATTTTTTCTGTGAATGTGGTCATGAGAAAACCTAAAGTTGCCTACAGCTGGCTCTTCTGTTTCTTCTGGGAATACTTACTGCCCTAGTCTGAGTTACATAAAGCATCTCAAGTAAGCATAGAGGAGATGAATTTCCCTTTCTTGTAAACCTACTGCTGTTTGATATCCCTGTGGCTACACAATAGCCATATTGTAAAAGTGATGTTATAAGTACAGGAAGCTAAATTTGGTTCTTCCCCATCCTTGCTTTAAGCCTCATAAAATCAACCTCAATCAGGTTTCTGTTTAGCAATGCTCCATCACTAAGCCTCAAACCACAACCAGAAAAGACTAAAGAGACTGCCTGGTCCAGTGCACTACAGGAAAGAAATCACGAAATGCGATAGAAAATCTTACTAGCAAGGACCCTTGTCTGGGAACTAGATAACCAACCTTCAGTTCTTAGCAAATGACCATTTCACTACCCTCTCTAAATGAAGTTCGGTCTGGACTCTACACTTCATATAGCACTTTATGCAAAATGTCCACAGGATTAACATAGATTGAATAACTAAGCCACTAAATTTTCTGATAAGCACACACAGGTGTTATGGGTTAGAATATGAATAGCTCTGTAGACTTTAGACTGTCTATTGGGGGATGTTGGATAGATACACATTATTTCTAGAGAATGACCCTATAATATTGACTGCACTTTATTATCTATCACCATGTTAGGGTATAAAATCTTATCCTAAAACAATATACAGAATGACTAGAACAGAGACATTCTGACTCGGTTCAATAATTCCCCAGCTACACACTTTTTGATAAATGCTACATTAAATGTTTGCAAATATATGAGCAAAAAAAATTTTTTTTGGGGGGTGGGGGATGCAAATGAGCTATGAAGAAAGTGCTGGGACCCCCCCAGTTCTATTCTTAGTCTGCTTTACTTAGTCTGGATTTTCCTTGTGGGGAACCATCCCAAAGTACAATTAATTCCAGTCTTCCTTCCTATGCTAAGGGTTTTTATTTTGGAATTTTCAGTTGCCACCTGCCTTCTAGACTCTAACATTTCATTACCAACTGTTTGGTGTATCTTCGTTCAAAAAAGAAACCTCACATATTTAAATTGTCCTATACATAACTAAGGCAACCGAGACTTGAAGAGCAGAAGAAACAGAAAATTTAAAAGGAAGTCTCCAGATCATTACATCTAAATGAGGAAAGCACCCTGAATATAAGGTAATATACTGTCTTCAATGGATAGCAAGACCTTAGGTTATCTGTTTCCTTCTCTGGTCACCAATTATTAGTTGCACTCATTAGTAGCCTGACTTTCTAATTAATTGTCTGTCTTCCTAGGAAACCTCACTTCCAAAGGTGGTTAATCTTTCATTTAACATACTCATTTAACATGTGGTAAGTTTAGCTGCTATCTCCATATTCAAAAAATACTTTTATTCAGCACATAATTATTGAGAATTAAATACATTCTATCTAGTCCCTGTGAGTGAAATCTTGTAAGTAGGTCACTCTCTTCCTCTTCCTCTACCCTCCACACTCACGTATTGGTTCTGGAAAAGTAAACAATTCATACCTTTGACCTAGTTTGACAGATGTGAGAGGTTCATCTAAAACAAAATGGCAAATTTGACATAGTGCATGAGAATGTATAAAGACTGAAAGGAAGGATGTTTCCTGAAAGAAAATAATGCTCTAACCTGGACATGTGGCATTTGTCTAGAATACCAGGGATGTGTTTGAGGCAGTAGGATAGACTATGTGAGTATCACTCAGAATCCGGCTCAGATAAAATGTCATGTATGATGTAATTTGTGACTTCCTTCTTTGAATAAATTAGAATACATTAAGCAATTTTCATTGATGATTTAATGAGGTTGGAGGTTAATATTTATCCCACAGATCAGTCATTCACTCTTATCCTTGACAGCTAATGGTCTGAGAATCTTTAAATAATCATTTGTTTTGGTTTCATCAACCTTTTCTAAGTATGTCTATGAGGACAGGACCCTTCATCTTTATCTTCTAGAATTTTCAGCATATGGGAGATTACAGTTGAACACCGACACATGCTTACATAGCTAAGCTGTCTCAAAAGTTACTGTACATAGTTAAATAAGTCTGTTTAGATTGTACATTAAGTTATTGTTATAGCAACCTGAACCAAAATGGGAAGCCTGGGAGAAAAAGGAAACTGGAGGTCATACAAAGTGAGGGACGGTTCCTATTTCTGTATACAAGAGATGATAGAGAATACCACATTGTGTAAATGTCTCCAGACTTCTCCAGCAAACTATTCAACAGAAATATACCCATCAAGCAAGCCACACACATCAGTAAGGCATTTTATTTTGAATATCCTAGTTGCCAAATTAAAAGATAATGGATACTTAATGTGGAAGGGAGATCTCAATGATTTTTTTTCCACATTGTTTTTGCTGTGGAAAAATGGGTTGCATCTCTTTTCATTGGATTCCACAAGAAGCCTGCCATATGTTAGGTATATAATAAACTTTCATTGAATAATAATAGCTAACACTTGGTAGTGTTTCAGAGGTGTCAGCTACATTTTTCAGTGCTTTCTGCATTTAACACATCCAGTTTTCAAAATAATGTTATGAATAAATATATAACAATAGTATCTTATAGATGATTAATTGAACAAGATACTCTTTTTAAAAACAGATTTATTTTGTGTTTATGTGTATGTGTGTGTGTGTGTGTGTGTGTGTGTGTGTGTGTGCGCGCGTGCCTGTGTGAGATTATGTGCACCATGTGGATGCAAGTACCTGCATAGCTCAGACACCATCAGACTCTTAAGTACGGGAATTATGGACAACTGTTTTCCTACAGATCTGGGTCCTGGAAACAAATGTAATTCATCTGAAGTGACCACTGAACCATCCCCTTTAGACCCTGGCAGGATATGCTTTTAGTAGCAGCCTTCTATCACATTGAGTATATTTATAAACTGAAGCCCAACTATTTTTATTATTGTTTTAAATTTAAGATAATGTTAGTACAAGAACAAACATCCACTTGAAGTTTCTGAAATGGAAGGCATTGTTTAGAATACTTTAAGATCTGTTCCTCAGTACTCCTAACAAAACTTGTGAATGAGTACAATCACTAACCTCATTTTACACTTGGGAAAATTCAGTTAAAGATATATCCTTATAAAATTTGTACATTGGGCTAGGGTAGAGTTCAGCAGTAGATCATGTGCTCACCCTACACAATTTCCTGTTTTAGCGTCCCAATCGAACAAAAAAACTATTTTAAAAACAACTTTTCCATGTATTACTTTTTTAAAATATTGAAAAATTGGTCAATAACTATTTTATATTACTCTGGGTGACAATAGGAAGGCTATATGCACTGCCCATTTCAGCTTCACATTTGGTTTTTACAGTGACATCTAAGAGGTGGGTATTTTCTCATCATTTTATACCGAGAAAACAGAGGCTTGCAGAGATTCGGTGGACACATAAGAAGAACGGTGGTATTGGGGTTCCCACTGTACCACATGGTGTTTCATTCAAAAGAGTCATATTCAAGTTTTGTTTTCTCCCCCACAGCAAACAATATTAAGTCCAGTGCCTCTCACATGCAAGGTAAGTGTTCTACCACTGAGCTACACTGCCAGTCTAGTCACTAGATTAATTCATAAATAATCCGAATGAGATGAACTGTAGAAGTTTCCTTTATCTCCCAACTGAACAGAGAAATAAGGACACTGATTATAAGTAATTCAAGTGCTTTTCAGCTGTTAAAATAAAAATCTGTATGTATCCAAATGTACATGGATGGTACTACTAAGATTAAAGAACTGTCTAAACAATTTGGAAAGAAATTACAAAGTTAAAGGAAGTTTCTTTGCATTTTATAAACAATCTCTGCCTCTCTGCCTGTCTCTTTCTCTTACTCTCCCTCCTTCCCACCCATTCTTAACACACACATACACACACACACACCATACACACACATATACACACACACACACCACATACACACACACACCACATATACACATGCACCACATACACACACATACACACACACCACATACACACACATACACACACACCACATACACACACATACACACACAC